TTCACGTGGCGTTCTCCCTATGTGCCTATCTCTGTGTCCAAATTGCCCCTTGTTATAAGGATGCCTGCCACTCTAATAACTTCATTTTAACTTGATCACTCCTGTAAACACCCTATCGCCAAATAAGGTCACTTTCTGACATATGGGTTTAGGGGTTCAGCATATCTTTTTGAAGGGACACAATTGAACCCATAGCAATATATTTCAAATTTCCACTAGGCATTTAAGAAGGTAGTATGGGAAAAAAGGAAGCCGTAGAAACATTTTTCTATATTATCGGGGGTGGGGGCATTCTAACTTTTTGGAATTCTTATTTTGTCTGTTTTGCCTCCAAGATAACACCTCTCCGTGTTGGCTAAAATGCCTATCCTGTGAATAGTAACAGCTTCAGGTCTTCACACTTAGCCTTTAGTCAGGAAAATCCATTTGCTCTTGAACTTCAGTAGTCTGTTTTTCTTTGTACTGGCTCGGTGTTGCAATTTTAGTCACAATATACAAATAAAAAAATGGAAAACAAAACTGCTTGGGTTTACAAAAAGTATATATACGAAAATATTCCCCAAAATTACAGCGGTGCACTCTTAGGTACCTACCAACCTGAAAACTTTTACATTTGTTTTAAAAAAACACAGAGATTCTTTTTTTCCATACTCCTCAATGGGGCCAAACCAAAAGCCTGTAGCAGAACATCCTGCTACATCACTCCCCAGCTGTAGTGGGGCATGGCCTTGCCTGAGACTGTGCATACATCAACAATGCTCCAGTAAGCACTAGCTGGTTTGGCTCAGTGGATAGAGTGTCGGCCTGCAGACTGGAAGGTCCCAGGTTCGATTCCAGTCAAGGGCACATGCCTGGGTTGCGGGCTCAATCCCCATTGGGGGGCATGCAGAAGGCAGCCAATCAATGATTCTCTCTCATCATTGATGTTTCTCTCTCTCTCTTTCTTCCTTTCTCTCTGAAATAAATAAAATATATTTTAAAAATGCTCCAGTAAGTGTGGCACTTGGTCTTTTGCAGGAGGGAGGGAAGGAGGGAGGGGAGAAAATGTGCTAATTAACTTCACTCACCTGATCATTCTCTAAGAAAATTCTTAGCGCATTCTGTTGCAACATGGAAAAAACACACACACCTGAATTCCATAAAAATGTTTACTTAGTACTGTTGATTTTATCCTTTCATGTGTCCTTCACTTCCTCTCTCCCTTTTTTGCTCTTTTTTCTTTTTAAGCCCCCATAGATGGTTTTCCTAGTTTTTATCAATGAATAGAACTGAATGCTTAGCATTTATTTATTTTTCTATCCTCAAGGAACACAAACTATTTCTTGCAGCTCAAATCACTTGAAAATGTAAAGTGTGTAACTAAATATGCAGATTATGTTAATTATTTTGGTAGCCAGCCATATTGACCAGTTAGAACAGTGGTTCTCAACCTTGGCTGCACATTAAAATCACCTGGGAATCTTGTTAAAATCCTGATTTCTGGGCCTCATCATTAGTAACAAAGAAACAGAATTTCCGGAGGATGGGGCCCAGAAATCAGGATTTTAACAAGATTCCCAGGTGATTCTAATGTGCAGCCAAGGTTGAGAACCACTGAGTTAGAAAGTTGGACTAATTGGAATGTTTCAAAAGGGAATTGAATGAAATGGTGCTTTTGACCCAGTAATTGAAAGTCCAGTCTGAACACCTCACTCTGGGAATTCTCCCAACAGTATTTGGTTTTCCTTAGACATAGAAAACACCATGATTTTCATGATTTCAGTTAGCTGCTGTGTAATTAAACCGATAGGCATTGCCTTCTATCTAGAAATCATTCCAGCTCATGAAGATTCTAAGTCTAGGTGTCATTCATTTCTCTGCACTTACCAGTGTTGTGCCATGTTGAAAAATAAGTTAGATAGGACCCTCCTGAAACTCTAATATCTGCGTTATTATCATCCTCTTTTGTAGCTTCTTAGATTTGGACTATCACGTGGATCAGTTTGATAAATGTCCTTCCCACAGGCAGGTGTTTGGAGAGAGTGGAATACCACAAGTCTGAGGACATTAAGCGCCTGATTGCCTGGCATACATGAGTTGATTGCCCAAATCTCTCAGTATATGCTTGAAAAAAAATTTTTTTTAAATAAAAGCAAGTGAATTAGCTGCTTAAGCTTGGCCGTTTTTCAAAGTCAGCAAACAGGAAATGATTAAAATATGGGGTTCATACTAGCAACCAGAGGAAATTGAATGGAATTCCAAGTTGTTACAGTTTGTCATTGGCTTAATTTCATGACACACATTCCTTCTTTCCTCTACATTGCATGCACTTATTTTTTTAATTAAAAGTGAATCAGAATTAATTCTCACCCTAAACCGGTGTGGCTCAGTGGATAGAGCGTTGGCCTGCAGACTCAAGGGTCCCAGGTTCGATTCCGGTCACGGGCATGTACCTTGGTTGCAGACATGTACCCAGTAGGGAGTGTGCAGGAGGCAGCTGATCGATGTTTCTCTCTCATCGATGTTTCTAACTATCTCTCTCCCTTCCTCTCTGTAAAAAACCAATAAAATACATATATATTTTTAAAGAACTAATTCTCAATTTTAAAATTTAGGCAAAAATAGGACTGGTTTCATATAATTGGGCATGCCTGAGAGAGTGACACAAAACCATAAACAGGCATGAGTAATCTCTATAATAGATGTCTGGGGTCCTATAATAGTACTACACCTACTTTGCACAGAAGGAAAAATGGTGTTCATGTCAAATGTTTTGCATTCTCATATGTAAATTTTGTGGAAAAGCTTATTTTCTCAAACCTATTTGGAAGAATTCCTTTGGCCATTTTTCCTTAAAATTGCTTTTAAAATCAGTTTTACAATTAATTGATTTAATCCATTTGAAATAAATGCTTTGCTTTCGTTGTTTCAGAATTTATACCTTTATCAAGATTACTAAACTTCAGACATGGGTACTTCTATAAGCAGGGAAAGAGGAATATGTCAATTAACTATAAGAATTGATTATTTACCCTCATTTTCTTAACTTTTAAAAAAATATGTTTTTATTGATTTCAGAGAGGAAAGGAGAGGGAGAGAGAGATAGAAACATCAATGATGAGACAGAAAGTTGATTGGCTGCCTCCTGCACACCCCACACTGGGGTTTGAGCCTGCAACCTGGGCATGTGCCCTAACCGGGAATTGAACCATGACCTCCTGGTTCATAGGTCAACTATCAACCACTGAGCCATGCCAGCTGGGCTATTCATTTTTTAAAAATATGTTTTTTTATTGATTTCAGAGAGGAAGGGAAAAGGAGAGAGAAATAGAAACATCAATGATGAGAATCATTGATGGGCTGACTCCTGCAAGCCCAACTCTGGGGATCAAGCCCGTAATCCAAGCATGTGCCCTGACTGGGAATCAGACCACACCTCCTGGTTCATAGGTCAGCCAAGCCAGCTGTGCCATCCTCATTTTCTCTTCAAATTACAGTGTTCTTCTTGTTTATTACGGGGCGTGGACTGGTGCCTTGTTGACTGCTGCTGATTGAGGAGGAGAAGGTGTGAAGGAAGAAAGGATTGACTGATTTTGATCTTCTCTGTTTGCTACAAAGAAATTTAGTAGACACGCCAAATAAATCATTAGCCAAAACACATGAACAGCTGTATTCAGAATACTACATCATCTCACTGTAAATCATCTACCAAAAGCACTTCTAAATTCTAAGCAAGCCAACCATATTGATAATTAAATGTTCACTAAAGTACCCATGTTAACTTCCATTATAATTTGTCACATGTTAGAGTTATAGATCTGTTCTTGGCAAAGAAATATTAAGTACAGTGTTCATTTTATAATAAATGGAGGCTATTTTTCTCAAGTAAAATCATTACAGGTTTTTAGTTGCAGCCTTTTTGCATCGTTAGTTATAATTAGTACTTTTTGACACCGAATCCTTGATTAGGAAATAAACTTAGTTCTAATATGTTTATAATTTGTTTTAAGTACTTCCAAGGAATATTTTAAAGTCAAATGTGTAAGCTCCTTGTGTCAGTTTGGCTTACCACTTCCTGTAATAGCACTGCTGTTAGGGGTTTCTTCCCAAGACACCTGCAGGGATCTCAGGTGTAGTTGCCTCTATCTTTCCAGCTTTGCAACTTAATTCTACAAGCCCGTCCACATTAGAGTTGATAATAAGCTGATTCGCCGCTTAACCCTTCCCATGGGAAGAATTAGCACAATCACAAACATTAAAAGCTTTGGCAACATAAACATTAGAACAGCTAAGCGATACTGAAATTGGATACCAAAATCTCAAGAGAATGAAAAATTGTATTTCATACTTTGTGCCATCTTCCAACTAAAATGTTAAGCCCCAGCCGGTTTGGCTCAGTGGATAGAGCTCTGCGGACTGAAGGGTCCTGGGTTCAACTCCAGTCAAAGTCACATGCCCGGGTTGTGAGCTCAATCTCCAGTAGGGAGCGTGCAGGAGGCAGTCGATCAATGATTCTCTCTCATCATTGATGTTTCTATCTTTCTCTCCCTCTCCCTTCCTCTCTGAAATCAATAAAATAATATTTTAAAAAAATGTTAAGACGTTTCCAACTTTTAGGGTTGTGTGTGTGTGTGTGTGTGTGTGTGTGTGTGTGTGTTTGTGTTTGTGAGAGAGAGAGAGAGAGAGAGAGAGAGAGAGAGAGAGAATAGCTTTGTAATAAGAATTTGGTGATTGCCAAGGTAATATTACCAATTGAAGCAAACTTCCCTTTTCATTAATGATGCTTAAACATATTTAAAAATAGGTGAGAAAGAGGAAACAAAAGTTAACTAGTTGTTTTCCCCAAAGTAGTATACACCCCAAGTGGTATATAAGATTTCACAATAGGGGTATAAGGAAAAATATTAGAGCTTCTAGCTATTTTTATCTAATACTTTACATTTCTACTTTTTATTTGCTTAATGATGTACATAATACTCAGTTATATATTGAGGAGAGTGGCTGCTTAAAAACTAATTTTAGTGCTCCCTTCGGCAGCACATACACTACAGTTGACATGACACAGAGAAGATGAGCATGGCCCTGTTCCAGGGTGACACACAAGCTTGTGAAGCATTAAGAAAAGCAAACCTGCCCGCCTGGCGTGGCTCAGTGGTTGAGCATCTACCTGTGAACCAGGAGGTCAAGATTCGATTACCAGTCAGGGCACATGCCCTGGTGTGGGCTCGATCTCCAGTGTGGGGCGTGCAGGAGGCGGCTGATCATTGATTCTCTTTCATCATTGATGTTTCTATCTCTCTCTCCCTCTCCCTTCCTCTCTGAAGTAAAAAAATGCATATTTTTTTAAAAAAGAAAAGCAAACCTAATTTTATATGAGTGCATTATCAAAAAAGCCGAAAGACTACTCCAGGAGACACTGCGGGGCAGAGAGACTCATTCTTTGTTTTGAGGTCATTTATCAGAAAGAAGAAAACCATGTTAAAGAAAGGAAAAACTATTTTATTATGGTATATAGTTTACATTTTTAAAATTGAATACTTTTATATTAAGCTTCATATTGCTTCTATGTTGTTTGGGAAACTTAAACTCTTTATGATTTCATTATGTCCTCTCATATTATCTACACGTGTTAATACTTAGAGCAATACAGAAGACAGAGCAGGAGTGCTGTTTACTGCTGCGCTTTTCATTGCTAGGCCATCGTATTTTGAAGTGGCTCACACTTAACAGGAATATTTTTGAGAGCTGTTTCTTTCATCATCATGTTAATGAGCTATAATTAGCTTTATTAAGATAACTGAGTATGTAATCATTTAAGAGTTTAGATACAATATATGAATACTTGGATTGGGGTTGTAGAATCCTATATAATAAAGAGATAATATGCAAATTGACCATCACGCCCTCCCAAGATGGCTGCCTATGACCAGGCCTGCAGGGGGGTTAGTGAGGGACAACCAAACGACTGAACAAGCAGGCTGCGTGGGGCGACCAGGATGGTGGGGGGGCAGTTGGGGGCGACCAGGCCAGCAGGGGGGGCAGTAAGAGGCAACCAGGCCGGGGGGGGGGGGCAGCTAGGGGCGATCAGGCCAGTGGGGGGGGGGCAGTTGGAGGTGATTAGGCTCGTGGGGGGGGGGGCAGTGAGGGGCAACCAGGCCAGCAGGGAGGGGGCAGTTGGGGGTGACCTGGCCAGCAGCAGGGGGCAGTTTGGGGCAACCAGGCCGGCGGGGTGGGCACTTAGGGGTGATCAGGCCGGCATGCAGAGGCAGTGAGGGGTGATCAGGCCGGCCGGGGTGGGGGGGGAGCAGTTAGGGGCGACCAGGCAGGCAGGCAGGTGAGCAATTAGGAGCCAGCAGTCCAGGATTGTGCACAAATTTCGGAACCAGGCCTCTAGTAAGATAATAAAATGCTTCCTCTTTTTTTAAGTTCTTTATTGTTTAAAGTATTACATAAGTCTCCTTTTTCCCCCATTGACCTCTCCCCAGCTACCCCCCCGTCTGTGTCCATTGGTTATGCTTATATGCATGCATGCAAGCCCTTTGGTTGATCTCTTATCCTCCCCCTCCCCTGCCTTCCCTCATAGGTTGGACAGTCTATTCAATGCTTCTATGACTCTGGTTCTGTTTTTGTTCATCAGTTTATGTTGTTCATTATATTCCACAAAGAGTGAGGTCATGTGATATTTATCTTTCTCAGACTGGCTTATCTTCCTCTTGAAAGTACCATGTGAATTATTTTTGCCTTCAGCTAATTTTGAAAGAAACCTCCCTTGATGGTCTCCCATGAAGAAGTAATTGACTTTGGTTAGGTCCAAGGTAGAGTGTCTTTTACTGACCTTACTGCATCATGAGTTTAGCTCTAATGCAGGGGTAGGGAACCTTTTTTCTGCGAAGGGCCATTGGGATATTTATAACATCATTCGAGGGCCATACAAAATTATCAACTTAAAAATTGGCCTGCTATGTTTGGTCAAACATTTAATGAACTCACCAGACCAAATGATTTTGAGGGCCTTATACAGCTTGGGGGCTGTACGTTCCCCACCCCTGCTCTAAGGTGTCAAAACAAAATTTGTGACAGGTAGGACAGAGTTTTAAGTAAAATCGATATAATATAATATTAATAGAAATTATATTAATTCACATTTTATTTTCTTTTAGTTCACAGGAGGATGAAAGACCTCTGTCACCTTTCTATTTGAGGTACTTATTTGATTTTTGTTGGTCTATTACAGGGAAGGGAGGAGGGTTGGGGCTTCTTTGGGTCTCTCTGTCCATTTGAATTCTTTTCCATCGAATATTCTGCATTATGGCCAGACTAGCTTTTTGGAACTTCTTGCCATGTTGTTCATGCTCTGGTTTTCCCTCTCTGGCTTAACAAATCCTGAAACAAATTTTAATATAGTTGAAAACACTAAAATAAGACATTGTGTTTTAAATTCAGAAATGTTAAAGTAGCCATTTTAACTTCAAAAACTGCCTGTAATTAGACTGTAACCTAAGTTTAAAAATTTTTCTTCTGTACTTAGAGGTTGGGGAGGAGTGAGCACACAAAGCTTACTTGCTGAAGAAGCTTTAGGTCAGTGGTCGGCAAACCGCGACTCACAAGCCACATGCGGCTCTTTGGCCCCTTGAGTGTGGCTCTTCCACAAAATACCGCGGGCGCGCACGTACAGTGCGATTGAAACTTCGTGGCCCATGCACAGAAGTCGGTTTTCAGCCTGGGCGGGTCTATTTTGAATAAGTGGCATTAGAAGAAGTGGGGGGTGTCCATCAGTCGGGCAACAGGAGACGCGGCGCAGGCCCCAGCACAGGCGGGCGGCGGGATACGCAGCACGGGGGAAGCGCACGATTCATGCAGGAGTTGAGTGAGCCAGTCAGTCAGCAGTCTCATGTGCAGTGGTTAGTGCTAGTTGCGTCAGCACATCGTGCGCGGGTGACAAAAGATAGACGAAACAAGTATACAAGAGGAGTGTGGATGGGAGAGTTGGAAGGGGTCGACCTCAGCGAACGTACCTCAATCAGATTGAGGACGTTTTTAGCAAAGGCCAGCTTAGGAGTACCCTAATTAAGTTAATAACAATGTACCTACCTATATAGTTTAAGTTTAAAAAATTTGGCTCTCAAAAGAAATTTCAGTCATTGTGCTGTTATTTGGCTCTGTTGACTAATGAGTGTGCCGACCACTGCTTTAGGTTACGTTAAATCATTTCCTATGTAGTAGCGGCATGAGAAAGTAAACATTCAGTAAGGTTATGGAGTTCAGGATTCTTTTCTAAAGCTTATAATGCTAAAATATCAACTTTTAAAGCAGGTAAGTTTACAGAATGTTGAAGTGAATCACATCTCTCCAGACTAAAACATTTGCTATATTAATGTGATTTTTAGTGAGCCCTTCAACTTGGGTATAGCCTAGAGCAGCCGTGGGCAAACTACGGCCCGCGGGCCGGATCCGGCCCATTTGAAATGAATAAAACTAAAAAAGAAAAAAGACCGTACCCTTTTATGTAATGATGTTTACTTTGAATTTATATTAGTTCACACAAACACTCCATCCATGCTTTTGTTCCGGCCCTCCGGTCCAGTTTAAGAACTCCTTGTGGCCCTCGAGTCAAAAAGTTTGCCCACCCCTGGCCTAGAGCCAAGTATTTCTTACTGAATTTCTTTCCTCACTACCTATCTACTTCAGAGGCTTAGAAAATATATTTGAAAATAATATTTCCATATTAATTAAAGTTAAAATTGCTAAAGTTTTAATTTTTTTTTCTCAGTTTTGAAATCTATTTTTTAAATAAATGTTCAGGATATGTGATAAGTAGTTTGTATTTATTTTTGAATCTGATTGTGGCAATCATTAGATTTAGACGTTAATTCAAGCACCAGTAGTTCAGAAATGTGTTGTAGGACTTCAGGCTTAGCCAAGTAACTGCTTTCCACTAGTGTTCTGGCCTTTAGTGACTTGAAGCTTATTGCATAATCACTTTGTGGCAAGAGGGAACATTTGAGGTGTCTGTCTGAGACAACATGGTGGTCCATTTGATTCATCCTGGTTTCCTGCCAACCAAATCAGCATATTCTGGTTCATAGGCTATCTCAACTGTGCAATTACTGTAAACACACGAGATGTTATTTCTGAGCACATGGTGACTCTGGCATTCATTATGTAAATACACACAATAATATCAAACATGATTATCCTATATTAATGGAAATTAAGTTTTACATACTACAGAAGATTAAAACACAGGATCTTGCCAACTAATGAGAACTATTTGTTCCCTGTCTTATATTTTTTACTCTAGATAACATCAACCTATGTTTTACATTGTCTTAATTTTTTTTTTTAACCACTATTGTAAAATCCAGATGGGAGAAATGGGCTTATAAATCCTCAAGGACACATAATTGTGTCTTATAGTGTGATAATTTTTGTAATTACCTAGACTAACAATGCAGTCTTGAAAAAGAAATTCTGTACTAGCAAAATGAAGGTAAAAGAGTTTAAAGAAAATTAATATTGTTAAATGTCATAAAGATTAAAATATGATAAAAATTAGGAAAAAGAATGAATATGTAAAGTAACCCACATTTGCCCTGGCTGGTTTGGCTCAGTGGATAGAGCGTCAGCCTGGGGACTGAAAGGTCCCAGGTTCGATTCCGGTCAAGGTCATGTACCTTAGTTGTGGGCACATACCCAGTGGGGAGTGTGCAGGAGGCAGCTGATCAATGTTTCTCTCTCATCGATGTTTCTAACTCTCTATCCCTCTCCCTTCCTCTCTGTAAAAAATCAATAAAATATATTTTAAAGTAACCCACATTTACAGTAGAGGTCAAGTTGAAAAAAAAAAAATGGAAGTTACCAGCAGGCATTCTTTTCACATGAAAGAAATTTAAACTTAGTGGAGCTATTTCATAAATGCAAAAATCATAATTATTTGGCTTGAAATTAAAATTCACATGTAATTTTTTCTGAATAGTCTTAGAAATTATGTTAGAATTAGGTTGGTACAGGTTATTTTAGCTTTTGTTTATTATGTACTTGACATGAAGCTGGAGAACATGTTAGTAAAACATAAACCCTTTTTTGCCCCCAAATTATTTGCATGGCTGGTTGAGATTAACTTTTCTAGCATAAAGAATTCAAGTAGAGCCAAAACCGGTTTGGCTCAGTGGATAGAGCGTCGGCCTGCGGACTGAAAGGTCCCAGGTTCGATTCCGGTCAAGGGCATGTACCTGGGTTGTGGGCATATCCCCAGTGGGAGATGTGCAGGAGGCAGCTGATCGATGTTTCTCTCTCATCGATGTTTCTGACTCTCTGTCTCTCTCCCTTCCTCTCTGTAAAAAATCAATAAAATATATTTAAAAAAGAAAAAAAAAAAGCAAGTAGAAGAAAGAAAACATGATTGCTAATTATGATTAAGTACTTCTAGAATTTTGGACTAGAAACATAACCTGTCTACTGATAATTTAATTTATAAATTAGTGTACTTTTGTACTACCTCTCATAAGAGCAAATGAATGCTTAATAACAAGACAGAATCTGTGTTTGCGGTAAAGATTTTCAACCTGTCATCTCATGACACACAAACTAATTACTCAAATTCTGTGGCATACCAAAAAAATATATACTTTTTGCTGATCTAACAAAAAAGGTATAATTTTGATTCATTCACATTGGACAGCTATTGTTGTGTTGACTATTGGCATTTTTTTTATTTGACAACCTAAGGGAAAAGAGGCCAGTGCCCCTGACTAAATAGTCAGGTATTGCATGTTTTAAGAATTGTTGCGGTATGCCAGTTGAAAATCGCTAGGCTGGAGGATAGAGATGGAGAGCACGCAGTGTACTAGCGGAGGCTCCAGACCCTCCTGTGGCTAGGAGAGGGGGTGGAATGCAGGACAGGGATCCAGAGAGGCCATTTCAGTCACTACCTTGCTCTACTTTTCACCTTGTAGAATTTCACTTTCTGTGATTGCAGTTTTCTTTTAACAGTCATGGCTGAACCACATGTTAGTCTACTGCACACTTACGTTGCCTTTAGTCTTTTCTTTCTTCTTTCTTTCCTTTTTTTTTTTTAATCCTCATCCGAGGATATTTTTCCATTGATTTTTAGGGAGAGTGGAAGAGAGAAGGAAAGACCAAGAGAAACATCAATGTGAGAGAAACACATCCATTGGTTGCCTCCTGCACACACCTGACCAGGGCCCTGGCTGGGGAGGAGCCTGCTACCAAGGTACGTGCCTTTGACCGGTATCAAACCCTGGACCCTGTGATCCGCAGGCCGACGCTCTATCCACTGAACCAAACTGGCTTAGGGCACCTTTAGTCTTTTCCATAGTGAGGCAGGGCTGTTATAAATAGACATACCTCCTTATTGTAGATTAAGTATCTTCTATGTTGAGAACTCTGTGTTCTCTAATTTCAGTACTTCTCCAACCTTACCTAACTCACCACAGAGCCATTTGTTCTTTTTTAAAGGAAAGAAATAGTAGCCACAAATGTACACCTGCCACTGTCCCATGTGGCAAGTGTATTGCAGCTACAGTAGCTTAAACAGTAGCTGTCATTGTTCCCCAGATGCTCATTAGAGATTACCCGCCCCGTTGAGGTTATTAAGGAAATGAAAGGGAAGGATAGGTTATGCCAAATCCTTAGTGAGATTGCCACAAAATAAATATGAACAGGCCAACTTCAGGTGAAGAGCATTCTTGGCTAGGATGTCCATACCTGGCCTCTTTCATAGTCTAGGCTGGAGTCCCAGAAAAGGAGCCCCTACCTCAGTTGCTCAGATTGGCATCAAAGCAACTTTTGCTGTAGGTGTTCTCCTGTGCCGTGTTCAGCCTGTTACTGTCTGATTTACTTTGCCTGGCATGCAGTCAGATCTGGCTAGGATCTGTTGCTAGTTCACTTTTGTTCATCTGAGTCTCCAGTGTCTACAAACCCAGGCTTTGATTTTTGTGGTTATTTCCACTGGATTCTTCATCTCCACTTTCTATTTCTCCTCATCTCTGCCCGCTCCCACCTCACCTACACTACCTTCATGTTTCTTATGGCAGGGTCAGACCCTATCCTATCCCATCCCATCAGAATTCAACCACTGAATTCCCTCTTCTTTCCAATTTCTTGGCTTATATGTATAGCCTGTATACCTACAACCTGTCTTTCCTGTGCTTTATCAAAATCTTACATATTTGCTTCAGGG